CCGCTCCGCGTTTCAAAATTCTCAGGTTAGGGGCCGACTGCCCCAGAAACCTTTCGGCATCGCACCTCGAATGCTGTGTTCGGTTTCGGGCCCCTCGCTACAGGAAAGATGTTGCGTTGCTGGAGCATGTCCAGAGGAGAGCAACAAAGCTGGTGAGGGGTCGCACCAGGCTTACGAGGAGCGGCTGGGGGAACTGGGGGTGTTCAGCCTGGAGAAGAGGAGGCTGAGGGGAGACCTTATCGCCCTCTACAGCTGCCTGACAGGAGGCTGTAGCCAGGTGGGGGTCGGCCTCTTCTCCCTGGTAGCGGGCGATAGGATGAGGGGAAACGGCCTCAAGGTTGTGTCAGGGGAGGTCACCAGCACCTACATCTTGTTCACGTTTTGATAGTGGAATTATTATGGAGAAGCGGGGATTACAACTAATCTGGAGACCTGAGGTTCAGTTTGTACAGGTTGGGGTTTTTGTTTGTTTGGGTTTTTTTTCAGTGGGCATGGGGAAGCTGAACTACGACAAGCAGATCCATCATTGTAATGGCTTTCAAAGCTGATTACTTCTTACTAGACTTTGGAATTCAGATCTGCTAAATTCATTTCAGAAGGGAAGCTTTGTGTGGAGAACCGCGGGAACTTTGATAGGTGGGCTGGAAAATAGTCTATTGTGTTCAGCAACCTCTTCAAGAGATCAGCTTTTCACACTGTTCCCCTTCAAACTGCAACTCCAACAGAGAACAGCAGCTTCTAAGGTTGCCCCTAGACTCCATCTTCCACAGCACGCTGGCTGCAAATTTCACTAAAATAACGAGCACTTGAATTAATTAGCAGTACTGACATCTTAAATATTACATTAAAACTTCAGCATTCAACAACCCAGCTTCTCAGAACTGTTGTTTCAGGCTGCAGGAAAAGTCTAGAAAACAATACTGCTTTGAGTCACATTTGTAATCATTTCATGGTATTCTTACTCCTTGGGAAGCTACAGAGGGTTTTTTTGGGGGGGTGTGGGGGGAGGTGGGGTACAAAGGGAGGTTTTGTCTGTCTTTAGGACAAGAGGGAATGGCCTCAAGTTGTGCCAGAGCAGGCTTAGGTTGGACATTAGGAAAAATTCCTTCACTGGCAAGGGTTGTCAAGCATTGGAAGGGGCTGCCCAGGGAAGTGGTGGAGTCCCCATCCCTGGAGGTATTTAAAAGACAGGCAGATGAGGTGCTTAGGGACATGGTTTAGTGGAGGGATGGCAGGGTTAGGTTAATGGTTGGACTCAATGATCTTAAAGGTCTCATCCAACCTTAATGATTCTATGATTCTTTCAGTGGAAGCTCAGAAAGCAGAAGCAAAATTATTCACCAAAGTATTGACTGAAAACTACAATATTTATGGGTAAATCCCCCTCCTCCCCCCAAATTATCTCCAGCTACAGTCATCAGGGAACTAACTGCCTCCACCTGAGCATGTAGTTTAGGGGAAGCATCATCAAACACCACTGTTGTGGAAGAAATGAGCTGTGTACAGGCAGCTGCCTGCTCCTCACTGAGCCAAGTCCCTCACCAGCCAGCCTTTACCCTTTCACAGCTCCCTTGGATGGCACATGGACACCAGCATATTCAGTAAAAAAAAAAAGAACAACCTCCAATTTAAAACTGGAGGCTACCAAAATTACCAGGTGCCTCAGCATCCCTATCCAGGTTAGGTCAATCCAAGCTTTAATTCCAGTATTGTGGTTTTAAGCTTGCCAATTTTTTCCAAGTTAAAAAGGGGTGGGAACATTTTTATTTTTCATAAGGGCATTACATACAATCTCACAGGAGATGGCCTCACACGTGTCATACAACTTTCCTCAAACGTCTTCCAGTCCTGGAAATGAGGAACCTGACTGGGGGAAGAGGCCGCCTGCTCCAAGGATCAGGCGCAGCTGGAGGTGGCACAAACCTTGCTCCAGCAATGAACACTACACCACTGTCCCAATGGTTTTAACAGTCTATTGATTTAATTTGGTGGCAATGCTTTTTTGGTTTTGGCAACTTGCCAGTTTTCTGAATAAAGACTTGAATTCTTAGAAACCTTCACCACCTTCTTCAGTAATGCACCCAAGCCCCTCACAGTTAAAAATCCAAGCTAGTTATTGCTGTAATTATAACCAAAAAAAAAAAATGCTGAAGGAGGTGATAATGTAGAGGCTAAGAGTTTTATTTCTAAATTATTTTTGAGTTAAAAGCACAAAATTACATTTTTAAAATATTATAAATAACTGAATGGAACAGTTGGGGGGCGAACTTAAAATTAGGAGGGCACAGCAGGGATCCCACGTGACAGGAAAAAAAAAGTTATTTTTCTGAAGTATCATACTGTTACCACTGTGAAAGAAACGCCAAGAAAATTTTCCTGGATTCCAGCTGAGATGGAAGCCAGCCAGCAGATAGCTTTAATCATGGAGAATTTATACTTACACAGAGAAGCTCAAAGTACAGCCTTTTTCTTGTAGAAATCGCTCTCACCTGGTTTTATAGCTGCTAATAAAACATAGGCCTTCTCTGACCCTTTTCATTCAAATTAATTTATGTATTTAAAAAAACCCCACCAAACCAACACACAATTTAGACTATTTCCAAGAGTTTCTTCTGCAGGGCTCTATTTGCCATTCCACGCCATTCACCATTTTCCTTACCCTTACACTACAGGCCTTTGAGAAAATGGGGGCTGTGGACCTACATCTTGTTCCAGGCTAAATGATTTAGGAAAGTGAGAACCGCAGTTTTAATTATGTATAGGCTCCAATTAACTTTTTGAGGTGGGAGCCCAAGTTCCCTTACAGCTTGACCCATGAATGAGGATTCTGTTTGGGATGAATGGTCTCTGTTCTCATCCCCTCCCAGCAGTGCAGAGCTGTAACAAACCCAGGCAGAGCCACGTACAGCCTGCACATTGGAAAAGGCGGTGAAGGTAGCTGCCCATCTGCCAAAAAGAAGTAGATGGCTCAGTGGGGAAAGGGGCTACCGGCAGGCTTTAGACATCAGTTTTAAGCATCAGTTTAACCATTCTGAAAATACACTAACTCTACAAAACTCCCTGTTCCTTCAGAGGCCAGCGCTGCCTGTTCCACACAGGAACCCACCCCGTCCTCTCCCAGGTTTAGGACATGCGTTCAACTACAGCCAACATTTTCTCTGCCCACGTGGACAGTATCTTCCAGAGTCTGCAGTGTCAAAGGCAGGCTTCTGAGCATTAAAGTATGTCTTTCACTCCAGGTGAATTACGCAGGAGAACATGCACAGGCATTTAACAGCAGTGCACTCAAGAGGCATTCAAAGTAATATGTGGAAAATAAGGCAAGAAACAAGGACTTTTTCATGAGGTGTCAAGGCAAGGACCAAAAAAAAAAAAAACCAACATATGGCTTGTTTATTTCATAGAAAAAAGGGAAAAGGCGACATGTTACCTTAAATTTAGGGCAGTTGAGGACTATCAGATCTAGTTCTGCTGACAAAGCTTGTAACTCATAAGGAGGCGGCTATGTAGGATAAACGACCAATGCATGGGCATCACAGTAATTAGACAAACAAGGGTCACAGACATAACAACTCATCAGATTATGAATGAAGCGGAGTGGAGAGGTTTTTTCATGCCACTAGGTGGCAGGAAGAGACCCTTTTACACCACTTGTCCACCTCTGCACCATTTTGAATGCATCCTCCTTCCTCGTGTGACAGAACAGCTATGGGCCCAACTTCACCATTAATATACAGGATAAAAAGAGAAGATCTACTGAATGAGTTCCAGTGCTAAGTGGATTCAAATGTTTTGGAAAAAACTGTTCATATATATGTATATTTAAACACACCTGTTTACACAGGGTCATTTCTGTAAATTGGGAAACCCCGTTTGAGAAGTCAATTCTCTTATTTCCCACTCACATGAAGGGCCCAAGGTTTACAAGCCTTACAGCTTCTGCAGTCTGATGGGAGGCAGAGTGCTAACACAATTTTCTGCAAATTGTTCAGAAGAGATGGATAAATAGCTTCAGATAATTAAAAGCATAGTGGTTTTCTACCTGCAGCAAAAAGACCCATATTTCTACAAATAAAAATAGTCTGCAATTGTTTTTCACGCCATCTCTCCAGGAGCAGTAAAAGAGCAGAGTAAGAAAGGCAGGAAATTTCTGATCGCTTGTGAACACCACATACTTTGTGTCCCAGCATTAAAAGCACGAGCTGACCGGCATCTCACTGCTTTCTGTAGTATTACGCATTACGTGACCAAAAAAAAGGGCGAGTGTCTTCGCTGACTTGCTTCCCGCTCAAACTGCACCAGCAAAAGTTCCACCTGTTCGCTCAGCGCCAGCCCCTCTCCCTCCCTCAGCCCCGGGACAGCACT